CTTTAGCCAGATTCATTAAGAAAAAAATAGAGAGGGCCCAAACAAATAAAATCTGAAATAAAAATGAGAAGTTACAACCAACACCACAGAAATACAAAGGATCATAAGAGATCACTGTAACCAATTACATGCCAATAAAATGGACACCTAGAAGAAATGGATAGAAACTTACTATCTCCTAAGACCGAATCAGGAAGGAACAGAAAATGTGAACAGCCTGATTGCCAGTAATGAAATTGAATCAATAATGAAAAAAATTCCCAACAAAAGTCCAGGACAAGATGGCTTCACAGGTGAATTCTACCAAACATTTAAAGAAGAGTGAATATCTATCCTTCTCAAACTATTCCAAAAATCTGAAGAGAAAGGAATGCTTTTCAAACTCATTTTATGAGGCCAGCATCACTCTGATACCAAAAGCAGACAAAGACACTGCAAAAAAAGAAAATTACAGGCCACTGTTTCTGATGAACATAGATGCAAAAATCCTCAACAAAATATTAGCAAACTGAATTCAACAATGCATTAAAAGGATCGTATACCATGATTAGATGGGATTTATCCCAGGGATGCAGTGATGATTCACTATCCACAAATCAACCAATGTGATACACCAAATTAAAGAATAAAAATCATACGATCATCTCAATAGATGCAGAAAAACTTCTGACAACATTCAACATCCACTTACGATAAAAACTCTCCAGAAATTGGGTATAGAGGGAACACACCTCAGCATAATAAAGGCCATATATTACAAGCACACAGCTAACATTATATTCAGTGGTAAAAAGCTGAAAGCATTTCCTCTAAGATCAGGAGCAAGACAAGGTTGCCTGCTCTCCCCACTTTTATTCAACATAGTATCGGAAGTCCTAGACATAACATTCAGCCAAGAAAAAGAAATAAAAGGAATCCAAACTGGAAAGAAAAAAGTAAAACTGTCACTGTTTGCAGATGACATGATAGCATATACATACATAAAAATTTCTAAAGAAGCCACCAAAAAACTTAGAACTACTAAATGAATTCATTAAAGTTGTAGGTTACAAAACTGGTATACAGCCACCTGTTGCATTTCTTTCTTTTTTTTTTTTTGTTGCATTTCTTTACACTAACAACAAACCATCACAAAGAGAAATTAAGAAAATAATACCATTTAGAATAGCATCAAAAATTATAAAATACCTAGGAATAAATCTAACAAAGGAGGCAAAAGATGTGTACACTGAAAACTATGACATTGTTGAAATAAATTGAAGAAGACGCAAATAAATAGAAAGATATTCTGTGCTAATGGATTAGAAGAATTGACACTTTTAAAATGTCCATATTACCTAAAGCAATCTACAGATTCAATACAACCCATTTCAAAATCCCAAGGACCTTTTTTCACAGAAATAGAACAAAAAATTCTAAAATATATAGAGAGCTGCAAAGGACTCCAAATAGCCAGAGCAATCCTGAGAAAGAAAAAGCTGGAGATAGCACACTCTGATTTCAAACTGTATTACAAAGCTATAGTAATCAAAACATATGGTATTGGCAGAAAAACAGGTACATAGATTGGTAGAACAGAGTTGAGGACCCATAAATAAACCCATGTACATATGGACGATTACTTTATGACAAAGGAGCAAAGAACATACAATGGAGATAGGATAGTCTCTTCAATTAATAGTGTTGGGAAAACTAGACAGCCACATGAAAGAGAATGAAATTAGGCCACTATCTCACAGCATACAAAAAAATCAACTCAAAATGGATTAAAGACTTAGAGGTAAGACCTGAAACCATAAAACTCCTAGAAGAAAACATAGGCAGTATGCTCTTTGACATTGGTCTTAGCAACATCTTTCTAAATATGTTTTCTCAGGCAGGGGAAACAAAAGCAAAAATAAACAAGTGAGAACACATCAAACTAACAAAGGAAACGACCAACAAAACAAAATTACAGCCTTTCAAATGGGAGAAGATATTTGCAAATCATACACATCCAGTAAGAGGTTAATATCCAAAATATATAAAGAAGTCTTAAAACTCAACAAAAAATTCCATTCTCTATATCTGCGTCTTTATTCCTGTCCTGCCCCTAGGTTCTTCAGAACCTTTTTTTTTTTTTTTTTTAGATTCCATATATATGTGTTAGCATACGGTATTTGTTTTTCTCTTTCTGATTTACTTCACTCTGTATGACACAGGGAGGGGGAAGGGTAAGCTGGGACAAAGTGAGAAAGAGTGTCATGGACATATATACACTACCAAATGTAAAATAGATAGCTAGTGGGAAGCAGCCACATAGCACAGGGAGATCAGCTCAGTGCTTTGTGACCACCTAGAGGGGTGGGATAGGGAGGGTGGGAGGGAGATGCAAGAGGGAAGGGATTTGGAGATATATGTATATGTATAGCTGATTCACTTTGTTATACAGCAGAAACTAACACACCACTGTAAAGCAGTTATATTCCAATAAAGATGTTAAAAAATAAAAAAATAAAAGAAAAACCCTATTAAAAAATGGGCAGAAGAGCTGAAGAGACATTTTTCCAAAGACATACATATGGCCAACAGGCACATGAAAAGATGTTTAACATCACTAGTTATTAGAGAAATACAAATCGAACCACAATGAGATATCACCTCAAGCCTGTAATAATGGCTGTTATGAAAAAGGCAAGAAATAATAAGTGTTGGTGAGGATGTGGAGACAAGGGCACCCTCTTATACCGTTGCTTGGAATATAAACTGGTGCAGCCACTGTGGAAAACAGTGTGGAGATTCCACAAAAAATTAAGAATAGAATTACCATATGATCTGGCTATCCTACTTCTGGGTATTTATACAAAGAATATGAAGGCACTAATTTGAAAAGATATATGCACCCGTTTGTTCATTGCAGCATTATTTACAATAGCTAAGATATGGAAACAACCTAAGTGCCCATCAACAGATGAATGGATAAAGATATGGTATATATATATACAATGTAATACTACTCAGCTATAAAAAAATAGAAAATCTTGTCATTTGCAACAGCATGGATAGACCTTGAGGGTATTATGCTAAGTGAAATAAGTCAGACGGAGAAAGACAGATACCATGATTTCACTCATATTGAAGTATAAAAAATGAACAATAAAATAAAATAAATGAACAAACCAAACCAAACAGAAACAAACATGTAGATACAGAGAATGGAGAAGGGGCTGGGGGGAGGGCAAGAGGGCTAAGTGGGTAAAGGGGATCAACTATATGCTGATGGATGAAAACTACATTTTTGGTGGTGAGCATGCTGTGGTGTATACAGAAGTAGAAATATGATGTTGTGCACATGAAACTTATATAATGTTATGGCACTCTTACCTCAATAAAAAATTATTAAAATATTCTCTCTCTTGTGTACACGTGCACGTGTGTGTGTATGTTTACATGTGTGGCATGTTGAACTCACCAAAGTATTCAAGAAAGAATCTGCATTTAATTGCTGTTTAGGAAATGAATTATTAAGGATAGGCTAGGATTTGGGAAAGCAAAAATTAGAAGACAATTCAAGGAGGAGCAAAGATGTCATTGTGAGATGGTATGTACTGAGTGGAACTTATGAAAGGCTGGAATGGTCTTGGAAAGGAGATGGAGATTTGGAGTTTATCATGAAAGCAATGTCAAGTCATTGAAAGTTTTCGAGCTAGGAGGTAACAGTTAATATTAGTTTGTGTCACAATTTCTAAGGTTTTACTGTGGAAGTTTGTAGTTAGATTTAATCCAAGGAATTCATATGGGAAAAAAAGGTGAAAGGATGGACTGAGAGATTTTCGTCTTACCTTGCTTCGTTTTCTGCATATGTTGTCCACTTTGAAAACATAAAAAAGTGTTATTTCTCTAATGTTTCTCCACAGGTTTTACTAGGGTACCCAAGAGGAATTCACATGCCAGGATCCTTTATAAAGCTATCATTCCTGAGTTACTGTCTTTTACCTCTAAAGACATTCACTTGCCCATCCCATGTGGTCATTTTGGGAAATTGCCCCAGTTTATAGTTTTGAGCAAAGCTTATTAATTGGAGAGTTATTTGAGACATCTCCTTACTGGTGCTTCTGAATTTTTATGTATCTCCCAGCAGCAATTACCTCATGGAAAAGTATTTGTTAACTTTCTCAATTAAGAATGTGTTGTCCATTGCACCCTCACTCCTATTTACCAACTTTGCTTAAACCTCCTCCCACAAACAATATATTTGTTAATGCCCAAGCATTGGGATTGTGCTCAGAAGCAGTAACTAATTCATTATATTCAAACTTGGCAACTCTGTGGCAGAATTCACTCACTGCCTCCCCCACTACAGATAGGGTTTTATGTAAACATTTATATAAGAGTTTTGTATTTATTCATTTAGACCTTTTCAAAACCTTATTAGCTAATTCTGTCTAGGGTATTAAAGGAAAATCATTGAGAATAATTTTATTTGGATTTCCTATAATATCTATGTGTTCTGCTAACTTAACAGAAAAATGTCAGAAACTAATTGATGAGTTTTATCTACTTCTATTTTTATCAAATATGTGAGCTCAAATTATGACTCTCCTTAAAGAGATCGTTTTCCTGGGGATAAATTCAAAATGGAGAGTTGCTTAGCAGAGCTGTCTTTGTTCTTTACTGTGTTTCACAGGGACTAATCATGTAAAAGAGATAAGAGGTGACCAAGGTCGGGAATAGACATTAATGTAAATTGAGTACTGACTGCTTGTCAGGCGCAGGCTCAGGCTCCTTCACAAAGTATATCTTAAAAATTTTCTTCAGAATTCAAACAACAATTTTAAGAACATTATCTCTAAAATATTCTGTAATATTAGATATATTAATGTATATGATAATGTGTAGTATATATTTATATTATACATCTTATATTAATATATTTTGTATTATATGATAGATAATTTTATAATGTTATACTATATTAATATTGCAATAGACATTAGATTATCTAATATTACTCTTAAATTTAATATTACTTTGATAAATATTCACCTTCCTTCTTTAATGTGCAAGCTATCCTCCCACTCTCCCTAAGGGAGGCAGCCAGCTTAGTCTCAGAGTCAGAGTCTCATGATAGTTTACGTGTAAGTTTCAGATGTGCCTCTCTTAATCCAGAGACTAAACTCACACACACCTATCCTTCAGTGAAGGAAGAGGGACAGGATAACCACTGTGAACACTCCTGTTTGAAAATAGAAAGATTGGGAAGCTGTGGTAATCTCTACATCAGTGAGCAGTAATGAATGACTCCTTCCAGTGGTCTCCTCGTTTGGTCTGCTCCTCTTGAATCTGATCTGGCCCCGTGGCTTGCTTTAATAGAATAGAATGTGACACACGTGCTATTATGTTACCCCTGGCCTAAGACTTAAAAGGACGTGACTGCTTCCAATTTTGTACTCTTAGGGTTTGGCCACCATAGAAGAAGTCTGATTATGCTGAGACTACCAGACTCTTAAGGAAGCCTAAGTGAGCCACTTGAAGATGTCACACGAAGGAGGATCAAAGTGCTTTGATTGACAGCCCCACATGAAATCCCAGCCTCCAGGCAGCACCATCTGCCACTGTCTTGGACATTCCAGACCAGTTGAGCCTCCAGATGACTGCAGCCACAGCTCAACCCACGTAAGGAAGAGCTACCCAGGTGAGCTCAGCAAACCCACAGACTCATGAGCCATGATGCTAGTTGTTGCTGATTGAAGCCACTAATTTGAGGGTGATTTGTTACATAGTAACAGATAATTGAAACACACAGAGATCACTGTTCAGAGCAATTCAGAACTTTCTCTTTGTAGATCCTGTGAAAGTTCCTTATCTGTGGGTGGGGATGTGTCTTGATTAAGCCTAATGTGCCTTAATACAATCTCTGTGATAGCTTCAAGGGAGAAGACCTTTTCTGAATGATAAAGATCACAAGCTAAATACCTCTTCTCTGACAGGTATATCTTCTTAGAACACAGGACTCATTCTCATGCTAACTGTAGCATCTCTAACTGTAGCATCACATGGCTTAAAGAAAATCACCCTTAATAGACAACTAATGGAAACATACTGTATAGCACAGGGAACTCTACTTAACGCACTGTGGTGACCTAGATGGGAGGGAAATCCAAAAGGGAGGGGATATATGTATATGTGTGACTGATTCATTTTGCTGTGCAGTAGAAGCTAACACAACATTGTAAAGAAACTATACCCCAATAAAAATTAATTAATAAAAAAAAGAAAAGAAAAGAAAATCAGCCTTGCTTTAAAGCTTTACAACCAAAAATGACATCCTTTGGATAATATTGCTCTTACTTTCTGTAAGCTTATGTTATTACCTATCTGCATTCTTCTCCCTCTCCACATAAGAGATTGCTAGATCCTTTGTATAGCAGTCAGCAAACTGAATTTATAAGTCTGAGTGGAAAGCATGTTACTCCTTCCAACTCCCAGCAGATCTCTCCTGCTCTTTGTTACCCAGGTCTCAGAGCTCCCCCCACCTATGCCTTCTTGTGCTCATGGCAGCACTGACTGGCCCAAGCTTCTCTTTGGCTCTCAGGATCCTGCATGGCTGCTTCCACAGGGACACCCTCACCCAGATTATCTTCTCAGCTCTCAGGCAAGCCTTCACCTGCAGTTTCTTCTTTAGCCTTTAAGAAATGCATTATGCTGGATCACAGAAAGACTCTTGGGTCTTAGTTCAAGATCTCTGGGAAGCAGATTCAGGGATGAACATTTGAGTGCAGGAGTTTTATTAGGGAGGTAGTAGGGAAAGCTCAAGTTGAACTAAGAGGCAGTGTTGAGAGAGACTTTGATCCCACAAGGAGCTCTGGAGCTAGAATGGCCTTGCAAAGTGGTTTCAGATTCAAGCAAGTGACTGGGCCTTTGTATGAGCTGTATTCCCTCAGCTTTTGACTACCAGCAGGCAATTACATGTAAATTGCAATGAGATGTGTGTGGGAAATAGAGGATGAGTGGTCCTACTGTGTGCAGTGTTATAAAGAGTAGCCAGAACACGAGCTAGGATCATTTTGTCACGAAATGTATGTTATAAATCTTCAGCTATTTAATGGTTTAAACATTTTCCCATTTGTCAATGAACGTTTTTGGCAACAATGAGCCAAAGAACCTGAAAAGCTTACATTTAATAAAATATTGTATAATTAAATTGTGTTCCTTTTAAAGGAATTGATGGTGTATGTGCTCCTTACAGGAAATGTTTTCCACCTGCCATAAGAACAGTAGCAATATCACTGACCCCATGAAAATGAGAAGACACAAATTAGCTGAAGAAGCATCAGCATGTTTTTAAAAAGTAAGTATTCTAAGAAGACTCTAGCCAAAGATGATAAATTCACACATTAGGCAGCAGAAGGGGGTTTACATGTCACTTTGTGACACATGTCCTTTTATATAGTCTAGTCACTGTTCTTCTGAAATAGTTTGTCTCATTTTTTCCTCAAGTTTTCTTGAGCACCATTCTAGTGCTACTGTGTTGTTTCACTGGAAAAACTTTGCCAAGAGTTTGAATGAAGCCAGTGTCATTAGCTGTATCAACCAGAAAATCAGTTAATTCTAATAACAATTTGTTTCTTTTATTCTATTGACACAGTAAAAAGAATTATTTTGGAATTTCATTTTGTTGAGAAATGTTACATAATTGTAACATTTATGAGACAAGTTACATAATTGAAAGTATAAATTCAGCTCAAAACTTTGACATTGACTATAAAATTACAATTGACTCTTGAGCAATGCAGTATTTAGGGGCGCTGACCCCCCCTCACAGTGGAAAATCCATGTATAACTTTTGACTCCCCCAAAACTTAATTAGAAATAGTTTACTGTTATATGTATATCTACATATATTTTGTGCATTCATGACATACCTTTTTCTTATTTTTTTTCAATATTTCTAGGCTATGCAGTTCATCTGCAAGTTTTTTCAAATTGTCACAAATCTCCAAAAATTTTTCCAATATTTTTATTGAACAAACATCGTTGTGTAAGTGGACAAGCACAGTTCAAACCCATGTTGTTCAAGGGTCAACTGTATGCTTTATGATGGTAATATAAATAAAAATATTGGTGTCATAGTGAAAACTATATGCTTACTAAATTAAGGAACCCATGGAGAATATTTCAGTTGTAGTACATACAAAATTCATATTTTCATTCTAACAAGCTACAATATTCCACCAAAAAGGAGATTCAACAGTCAAAAACACCCTTTTTTTAATGTTTTTATATTCATAGAATTAGAGGAGTGAAAATGTTTGTGTGTACTGTAGCCAATGTTGAATATAAAAAAATAATTACTTCAGCATGGTCATACACATTTTCAGTTGGAGCCTAAAAATGTTTGAACTTGAAAGAACTAATTTGAAAGTGAATCTAAGTGTTTTGCAACATTTTTTGCTGGGTATAGAATTTTAGGTAGAAATTTTTCCATTTTAACCCTTTAAAACTGTCTCTCTATTGACCTTCATTGTTTGTGACCGTAAGTTTGCAGTGATTCTTATCTTACTTCTTCTCTATGTAATTTCTCTTTTTCCTTTGGATGCTTTAGAATTTCTTTTTATCTCATATAGAATTTTATTATGGTTTTCAACTTGTTTTAAATATTTTCAACAATTATTTTTTCTTTTTTGTCCTCTCCTGAGTCTCCAGTTACATGTATGTTAGACTGCTTGATATATCCCACAGGTCCTGAGACTCTGATCATTCTGTAAATTTGTTTTAAAATCTGTCTTTTATTTTGCCAAATGTCTGTTATTACACCTACAATTTCACTGATTTTTTTTCCTCCTTAGAGTTAGATCTGCTTTTAGTTCCATTCAGTGACATAATTTCTGATATTGTGATTTTCACTTCTACAAGTTCCATTTCATTCTTCTTTATACTGTCCATTTATCTCATTATGTTTATTTTTTAAATGTTTGAACATATGTGTAAAGTCCTTTTCTACTCATTCCGTCATTGCTTTTTCTTCTTTGTTTGTCTCTCCTGGTTACCAGTCACATTTTCCTACTCCTTCCCATGTCTACTTAATTTAATTGGATGCTGGATGTGTGATTTTTACATTATTGAGTGACAGGTTTTGTTTTATTCCTTTAAAGAGTTTTGGACTCAATTCAGTAAGAATGGCAGGGTATCTATTGATTCCCACTTTTTGTGCAGGTGCCTGGAAGTCGCCAAGTATCAGTATAAGGAAATTGGCCCAATCTGTTCAGTAAGTCAGAAACAGAAGGAAGGGACTATGCTAGATTAAGAGTATGATTAAAGTATGATCCTGGAATAGGAAGGGACATAAGTGTAAAGACATTTCAAGATCATGAGAGAAATTTTTAAAATTACTGAAACACAGAGGCGATATTATCGACCAGGATACAAGTTACACAACAGCAGACACTATGTTCTCACTTTGGTTGAAAACCAACACTTACAGGTATACATACATGTGTAGAAAAAGATCCACAAGGACATATACTAAGGTGTCAACCTTGGTGGTGATCCCTGAGTGTAAGATTATGGTGTTTTCATTTGCATAAAAATAATGGATGGCGAGGAGATAGAAAGCTGGGGTGATTTTAGGGCTCAGCTTATGTTTCCCTTCCTCAAAGATCCCAGTCCTCTATTACCTGTTGCCCATTGTCTGAAAGTAGCTGTCTCATAAATTTTATTCAGTTTACTCATTTATGATGAGAGAACTTTCTGTGTAGCTGTTACCTTTTCATGGATGGAAGTAAAAGTACATTAAATGACCTTCCTTTTCAAAATGTGGTGACTTTGGATCCCTACTTTGTTATATTTAATTATAGGAAACTGGTTTTCTCCAGTTTCAAAAAGCATCATCCTTCAGAGAACAGGAAACACTTTGAAACTCTGATATGTACATTGGGTGAAGAGATGTTTACTGATGGTGGTCACTACTGGGAGGTGAGGGTCCCAAGAAAGTCTGTTGAATTTTTGTTTGGACTCAGGTCACTGGGAAGGAAGGGATGTAGATACTCAGTTGACCATGGTTTCCTATTCACTGAGCCTCAAGGACAATCCGTTTGAAGTTCTTTCTCAGCATTCCCTCCTTTCCTTCAGACAGTCCTATCACTATGGAGAGGATCTAGTCTATAATGTGACAGAGTGGACCCATATTTATAGTTTTAATTACACCTTCCTCCAATCTCTTATATTTCTCCCTTAAGATCCTAGACAATGGAATGGATCTTCTTTCACTGACCACCCTGCAACTGCAACTGATTTCAGCCTTGGACAACCAGAAAGTTACACTGATGTATATCATAACCCAGGCTAACTGGAGCTTCCTTGGCTGACTACTGGATCTTGCGGTCTCTTAGTGTTGCTTATAGTTTGATAAAAATTCACTCAAGCAAAACAAAACTGAATTTCCTACCATTCACACTGAGGGGGAATGACAACAGTGCAAATTTTTCATAGTTATTTGAAAAGCCTGTGGTATTTGGTGTAGAAAAGATATTCAGAAAGTAAAATTGTGTTTTGGAACACTTTATATAGACACAGATACAAATCCCTATTGTTGCTGGTAAGCCATATCTCACATAGTCATGACTTTAATCATCTATTTTGAAAATATTTAAAATAGTGTAAGTATGGATACCACCACAGCTTTATGAAAATCAGCATCCCTCTTCTGTTATTTGTATCACAAAACTTCTTGGAGACACCAATTTTTCAATGTTGAAACAATTATTTTCTCTTATCCATGCCGTCCTGCCATCTCCATCTCCCTATCTATCTCTCATTTGTCTAACCCTCAGGCTGCCTGCATGGATCATTCCCAGCATGTCACACCCAGCAACAACTTTGCAGCTGCCTGGTGGTTCAGTTTGGCTCTGGGGGGGTCTTCCCAAGAGTATTCCCTTGTCTAGCTTTTGTTCTTTATCTTCTCAGAGAATCTGGTTGTGGGCAGGGGAGTTAGTACCAAATGAGCAATGTGTATTTAGGTAGATAACCTCTATGAATAATTTGTAAAGTAGTTTGTAAATTAGGAAACTTTAATTTTGATTTCCAGTGGATGATGTTTCAAGCTACTAAAATGAAATCATTTCCTATAGAAATCCAAGTACTTTCTCCACTGAAGCACAGTCAATTATAAAATATTTTAATGAGGTTTCACTCTATAAGACAAAAATTTACACCAGGTTCCAGCTAATGAAGTGTCTTGTCCTTTCCTTACAAACTCTGTAAAGTATTATTATTACTTTATTACCTCACTTGCTTCAAAAAAGGCATTATTTAAGCAATACTGAAACTTGAGGAAACAGGGAGGGACAGCTGCTCTTGGACACATTTTTTTTTGTTTTTGGTTGTTTTTATAATTTCTCAATTCCTTACAGTCTACTTGTAATGGATTTTCTGTTACATTATTGCATTATTGCATTACTGACTTGGTGAATTAATTAGATAACCAAAGTGGAAATGTGAACATATGGTTTCATTAAACCTAAAAAATGAAGTCACTGACAAGTTTGTGCAAATAATTCTTCAAAAATTATTTCCCTAAGGACTTCATGGTAAATTGAAAACTTTTGTTATTGACACTCAGTGCTCTCTGTGAACTGACACATCTAATTACCTTTGTGATGCAAGTGTCCTACAACACTCCCCAGTTGTTTTGTGCCCTGACCTCAAAACATCTACACGTATCCACTTCTGGGCATTTGCTTGTATCATATTCCTCTGGCTGCAATACTTCATCTCTCTCACTTTGTTTCTAAATTCCCTTTATTTATTATTTTGCTTTCTTTATTCTTGTTTTTATTTCCCTTTTTTCTACAATGAATGTTTATTATTTGTATTTAAATACATTTTTCACATTACATTTGAATCATTGGTTGGACCTTGATATCCATTTGAAGGCCTGATTTTAGTACTGGGTAGAAGGTGAAATGTTGGCTAAAATGTGCCTTTAGAGTGTGGAAAAGCATCTGATGGGCTGAGAGGAACCAAACAGTCCCTCTCCATATTGTTTACACTTACACCCTCTGCTGGTGTCTCTCAGCTTAGAGACAAAAAGCAAACAGCAACAGAGTTGCTCCATTCCATCTCCAAAACTCTGAACATTTTTGGAATATTATTTAAGCACTATTTATCTATATCCAAGAAAATCCAAGCTCAGCAGAAGAGAAAGATATTGAGTTTGTTCAACTTCTTTCTTCTATTTATGCAAAATAAGTGTTTACCGTGTGTGTGTGTGTGTGTGTGTGTGTGTGTTAGATGGAAGTTCTACCACTTAGGATGAAAATGACACAATATTCTGAAGTGGCTCCAGGAGTA